AAAAGAAGAAAAAAGACTAGGGAGGGGCATGATGATGAAGAGGAGGAAGAGGCAGATAATTAGAGGAAGAGAGGAAGGAGTGGAAGACTAGAAAAAAGACAGGAAAAAAAAGGAAGAAAAAGTAATAAAACATGAAAAAGTTTAGAAAAAATATAAGGAGAAAAGACTTAAATGGTGTGGAAAATAACATATGATGAAAAGAAACTGTATGTTCTAAAAAAAATAATGATACTAATAAATGAATTTATGTATTTTCACTGATAAGTCAAATAATTCTTGTGAGATCAAGAAGGAAAATAGACAGCATTTATAAATGTAGAGTCCATTTCTTGTCCTATGACGGATCAATTTGGAATTTCCTGGTCAGGGTCCATAATAAAATAAACTAGACACTAAATAAGCTTATTTCACTTACTCATTTCTTACATATTCTTTTTTTGTCCATAATAAGTCTTAGTATGAATCTTGTTTTAGTATACTATCAAATCTAATGTTAAATCAGGATTCAATGATTCTATGAAAATTGATGGAAATATCAAGAATTTGAAAACAAAAACAATTGTTTGATACTTTAACAAAAAAAATCTGTAACTCAATCCATAATGGGTTGTTAAGAAAAATAAGCACTTTAGCATTATTGTGACAATTGCCACCTTTCGTATATATACTACACATATGACTGTCTCCTGTATAAGTTAAAAGTTACATAAATGGACTCCTTCTTAAACTTAACCACTTGCTGACGGGTATGGTATGTGCATACATGCCATGCCCACTGTGTGTCCAATTTAGTAATTGTTTTTAAATATGGATGGCTCCACAAGTACCAAGTCACGATTGAGCCAATTACAAGTTCTACCTGTCTCACCAGTTTACCTTTTTCCTTGATTTTCGATATTTTCTAGTGTTTAATACTGCTGTTAGTAATGTCAATAACAATATAGTAATTATGTTTATAACAAAAAAACATTTAACAAAACAACACTAAAGTGAAGGCAACATTTTCCCATCAGCATTGGGTTAATATGATATGCCTCCTGTAAAAAATATTGCAAATCACTGTTCCTTGAAAATTTTAAAACTTTTTTGAAAATATGAACCATATAATATCTCATTAGTTTGTTTAGTGCATCTTTCTTTGTACTGCAGTGAAGAAAATTCAGATTCCAATTTTCTGCAATCTACCCTTGCTTGTTAAGAGTATGACAACTCCACTTACTATTGGTGACCCAATTTTCATATTACTGTAAATATCACTTCACCTCTGATTGCTTTCCATGTGAAAAAAGAACTTTGGTTGAGATGCACATCACATGCTCAACAGAAGCTAAGGCTTTATTATTGGGAAGTTCTTTCCTGTTTCCATTGTTTTCAAAAAAGCCTACTGGACACTTTACTTTACTAAAATAAACTGCTCTATTCAGATTGTCGTGATCTAGAACATTCACATACTTCCTGTTTTAGCATCTAATTGTAAAATAATATTTTTTATAGATGGCTCCTTTCCATAGTACAGCATTATAATGTGTTATGAAGGCTACATTTCTAGCTCCTTGAAAATAATCAAAGAATTACTCATAAAAGACCACCGACCGGGGGGGTAGCCGGGGCAATGACACCGGGGCCCATAGTAGTCGCTTATTTGAGCCCAAGAACAACTAACTCAGCAAATTTATAGGGTGCATTAACAAGATTAAAAATAAGGAAGTGGTTCAAAAAAGGTCCTCAATCTTCTGCCAAACTAGTGATATTTTTGAAGATATACGATATTAGCAATATAATCTTGATTGCAAGTTCTTGATTGTAAGTTCGAGTAACATACAGTTTATATTTATATAAAAGTTTAAGGGAAAAATGGGCGTTTCTTATTTGAAAAAGGCTTTTCCCACCTAAAATGGATGTGGACCTGTTCTTTTCCCCGGGGCCTGATGGCGGCCCTACCTTCACCAACTCAAACAAAATTTAAACAAAATATAATGAAATAATTTCAAGATTGTAGGAAATTTTCATAAAGATTTTTGTAATCCAAGATTGCATGATTGATCAGTTGGATGTACTGAGAGTTGTCTGCTTAAATTAAATATAAATATCATTATCCAAAATAATGTATATCTATTCATTAATTGAAAAATTTCTGCCACATCAGCATTTAAGATCATTAACAGTATATACAAAATATAGCAATAGGGGCAAGCTTAGGAGCAAAGCCCCAGGCAAGGAAAGGTCATACACTATGATAAAGTATTGTGGCAAAAAGGTGAAAAATTAATTAATAATTACAAAGAAATGTTCGATGTCAAAGGTTGTACAGCACTGTTAGTTAGTATGGTAGTGAAAAGACCAAGGAGGAAATAGCAAACGGATTACGAAGACCATACAAGACACAAATGTCTTTCATCCTTTAAGCACGGCTCTCACACATTGGAATGTGGACAGGAGGGAATGAAGAAGAGAAAGAAATGGTTAATGGTTAAGATAAATGTGCTAGACATCTAAGGTCATATAGCACAAGAGAAAGAAAAGGAAAGGAGGAAAAGAAAAGACCATGCAAAATCAGTTGAGGTGAGGGCTGGGGTACAAGGCAGGGGAAATTCCCCTCATTGAGCGTCAGTCTCTG